ACTATGTTAAAGAAAAGGAAGACTTTTTTTTAGAAACATGGAATTGATGATAACTTTTTTTATAAAAAAAAAAAAGAAATTTAAGGAAAAATGGGATTTAAGTATATGGTGCAATATAGGAAATACTTACAGGGCATAAAATCATTTCTAATGGAAAGAAGTCACCAGGTTTGACAGTTTTCTAAGTCATCTTTTGGTTTTCTCTGTTTTTTGGGTTTTTTTTCCTGAGTATTTTGTGAGATGCCCAATATTAAACAGCATAGAATCAAGTAAAAATGGAGCTGAAGTATTTTTAAAGTTGAGAGATGGGCGTGACCATGAGTCCGCTGATTCTATAGCCACCCTATTAAACTAGATATGCTCCAGTGAAGATCATAATTTATCTGAGGCAACAAGTAAGAAACAAGGAGAAAACAGTTAAGAGATCTATGATAGGAGAGATTATGGCTGTTGCCACTATTTGCTTTAGTATTCCTTCTTTTGAGTGTGTGTGCGTGTGTGTGTGTAAAACAACTAGTAGAAATCAAGTCACTTACTTGGAAGTGATTGTAAATGCTATATTATTATAATAAGTCCAGTCTTCAACATCCTCAATAAGGAATCATAGAGACAGAAAACTCACTTTTTCATGAGACAGTCTACTTCATTTCTATGAATACCAGCCATTGCTCCTAATATTGCTTATCCAGACTCTCAACATAAAAATAAATTCCTATCTTTTCCTTTCCCGATATTGTTACAGCTGTTAACGATATAGCCATTTTGTCAAATTCAAACCCTTTGTCTTTCCTTCCATCTAAAAATCCAATTACCAAGTCTTGTTAATCCCATTTTGTAATCTTAACTTCTATCCCTATCCAGTTTCATATTATCACTTATAACATACCATCGCTTCTGCTGTATACTACTTATTCATCATATAGATCAACCTTAATACAATATGGAAGGAGATTTTACAAGGGATAAATATCCAGAGGGAATATTGAGGACTATCTTGGAGGCTGCCTTCCACACAATGTGACAGGAAAGATGACTACTGACAATGTTAGAATCCCTGAAGAAGAATATCTTTCCTGATAGATCTAGCTGAAAAAGTTCTAGAGCTAACACAAATTGGCTCAGTTTGGATCAAGGGTCCCCAACCCCCAGGCTTCAGACCAGTACAGGTCCATGGCCTATTAGGAACAGGGCCACACAGCAGGAGGTGAGCCACGGACTTCATCCAGTGAAGCTTCATCTGTATTTGCAGCGACTCCCCCGCGTTAGCATCACCGCCTCAGATCATCAGGCATTGGATTCTCATAGGAGCACCTGTCGCTGGTGCCAAAAAGGTTGGAGACCACTGGTTTAGATCATGTGCCCTTTTGTGAACCAATAATTATGACCAGAGGAATGGACTCCTTTAATTGAGCATGTGCCTAGCAGTGGCTCTTGAAGGGGAACACTGTCATCTCCACCTGAACCACTGGATGAGAAAGGAGAGAATGCTGAACAAAAATGTTACACATGTCCTCTGTTCTACCTTACACTTCAACTGCTTTATTAATCTACTAAACATCCTTGCATTACCTGGTCTCTGCTTTCATTTTCAAATGGTACATGGCTAACAAATTAATCTTCCCAAAACTCAACTTGGATCAAGTTTTTTCTTTCTCAAAATCTTGCCCAAATAGCTCTTCACTGCTTACAGAATAAGTACTTAGTCCTTAACCTGGCATTCACACTCTCCCGCAATCTGACTCCAGACTCCTTTTCTAATCTAATCTACAATTTCATCTCTCTGAAAAATCGATGTACTCATTCACCTCCCTAAATAGCATTGACTCCATAACCTGGTTCATACTGTTCACATTCTTTACTCTCCAAGAATGTTTTTTACTCTCTTCCCTTATTCAAAGTCCCCACATTCTTCAAGTACAATTTACTTTCATAGCTCTGTATAGTTATCGCAACTCAAAGGAACTCCTCTCCTCTCGCATGATAATATTTTTGTTGTATCATTCTTTAATAACTATGATATACTGCTTCATTCTACTATGAATTCATATTTCAATAAATGGCACATATTATCTACCTGTAGCTACCTATCCAGATTGCAAACTTTTTAAAAGCAAGAAGTTTGCAATTATATTTATTATGCCTTGTATTCCTTTTCATTCCAAGTAATGCTTAGCTTGCAGTTAATAAACATTTGTTTATTTGATTTTGATTGTATGCCTCTAGATAATTTATAGGTATAAATGTCTTTAATCCAGTTTAGGAATTCTACTTTCTGATCAATATACACATTGAAGGAAATTGCCAACTTTCCACTGAATTGTTAGTCACTGTACAGTGACACTCATATTTTTTAATTTCTTCAACACACTAGCTTTGACCAAACTCTATACCAGAGAAAGGGCTGTTCAGTAATTAGAAAGGTACTCCAATTCTAAAAAGATGTGTACTTTCTACTACATATCTTCAGAAAATTAAATGTGACTTTCAATGAATTGAATTGCTGAAGCATAATCTAGATGGTTTTAGCCAACAGTTGAATACTACGATGTCAAACTAGCTATCTACAATGATTAGGTATACCATATACTGCTTTATTACTTTTAAACGAAACTGTTTAGACAAAGCACAGTCTATGTAAATTACTTCTAAGAATCTATCTGAAAGAATTTGGCTGTTTATGTCTTTGGCCATGAGTTTTGGCTTGCAGTCTCTATTTTGGCTTCTTGGTAGAAACATATACACTTACCATCCTGCCAGCAAAGATATCTCACCAAAAGGAAACCTGTACAATTTCATCAAGAAAGGACAGGAGCTCTCCCAGTTAGACTTGGCATGTACTCTAAATGAAATTAACCTACCCACCATTATATCCTTACTAAATATCTACTAAGACACTGATTTAGATATTGTGGGTAAACACTGGTAGGTGTTGCAAATATAAAAGTCATCCAAGGGTTACTTAGAAAGCTTAGTAATACAAAATAGTATACATGCTCTACGTCATAATAAATACCATACATAATTAGAGAAGAGAGAGTTTTGTGTGGGCTGGGAGAACTCAAGAAAGGTTTCACTTAGGAAAGGACCTAACCAGTGCATCACTTAATAGAGGCAGGTCATTTAGTAGAGTCCCACCAGGAGAGAGGACTGCAAATGATATGTTCTAAGCCAATAAGATGTAAAAAGAGAGCTTACAGAGGACATGGTAAGTAAAAGAAGGTAGGTAATTTGAAAATACACTGAAAAATAGTTTTTAATAGTCTGCGTTTTATCCTACAGACAATGGAGATTTTTGAAAGTTTTAGAGCACCTGCAAAATAATGTTTTAATATCAAAATGAGAAATAATTAAATCACTAAAATAATTTTTGAAGAAAAAAGACGATTAAAAACAATCATTTTTTTAAATCACAGATAGCTTATAAAAGAATCAATAAAGCTCAATAACAACATTATAAGTAGGAAGCAAGAATTCAAACATCATACTGGTTGAACCTACTATTACTATTACTAAAAAAGTAATAATATTATATGACTGAAATAACTCAGCACTTTCATTCACATTTAGTGCTTTTTCCCTTCACTCTAAAACAATTCGTATTCATTGTTTAGCAAAATTTCTTAGAAATTTTAATCGTGTAAAATATAACTGGAAATTTGCTAAGAAAGAAAACTATAAGTAAAAATTTTAAAGCTGTTGTGATATAAAAGGGATACAAAAATCTTTGTTCTAAAATTTAGATACTTTATTTTTAGTGAGAACTTCATGCAAAACCTACTTACAGATACTTTCAATGTGGTTAAATCAAACTTTTAACTAGTTTATCAATTTATAGCACTTTAGATGCAACAATTGAGAAGAGTTTTACTGTTAGATGCTGGCATATTAACAGCAACAGAAAGTTAAAGCTCATGTCGAGAGTAGAGACCACAAAGAAAAAAAGAAAAAAAACTACACACACCAGTTGGAGTATTGAAGCAAATACCTACTTACATTTAAAATTATTGTAATTATAACAAGGTAATTTACATTCATAATGACCCTGTGTAATGAAGAAAACAGAAAATTACTTAGCATTTAATCTGTTAAAAAAGGCCTTGAGAGATTACTATCAAGAATAATTTTTTAAATAACTTTTGGACTTAAAAGGATTTTAAGCAATTTAAATAATTCCATTAATTAGAAAGAAATGATAAACTGACTATAATAATTAACTTGAGAAAGTTGTCTATTATAAAATTTTTTAAGTTGGAAAGATATGAAAATTAAATAATAAGATAATATAAAATAAATGAAAGTTACAATTACATTAAAAGTCAATACGATCCTAATTAAGACCTGTAGAAACATCTGGAACAGAGGAACGCAGGCAAAGAGGTCACTATTTTAACAAGTTTTTAACATTATTCTGCAGAACGCCACCACACTTATAAGGAGTGCTTATTATTGAATCAAAATAGCTTTTTAGCAAAAAATTAAAACATAAGTTGAAATTTTATGGGTACAAAATAATTGAAGGATATTATAAAATCATTATACCTCTTAAGTTTCATTACAGCTAGAAATCCAGGTTAACAATAGTCAGACAGGAAAAAAAGGATTTAAAAAGTTGGCCATAAGATGAGAAATGCTAACTGAATTGTTTATGGCACTTGTTTTATGTGTTGTGGCTCTGAACAGTTAATTTTTCCTGCCTAGACTCTTCCTCATTCAGTGATTCTGCATTCTGGTATTTAACCATTCCCGATGTAGTTCATGAACTCTTAAGAAAGATGACCTTTTCTCCAGCCATAGGAATGGACTCTGGATCAAATTACACCTGAAGCTCTTTTTACTATTGGATCTTTCAATTATGAAAGTCAACGTATTTCTTTTATTTTTGTCATCTTAATTTGATTTTTATTACATTATCAAATATTTTAAAATGTCACATTTATATAATGGATATAAAATATGTATATGTATCACAATTAATATAATAATAATAAAATGAACCCTTATGTAGCAGACATCCAGCTTAAAAAATAAAATATTGGTATCTCAGAGACTCCTAAGTGCTTTTCTTTATTAGAGCTGGCTACAGCCCTTTCTAATTTGTATAGCTTTTATTTTTGGATAGTAATCACTTGCTTACACATAAAGCAAATATCTTTTTTACAAGGTGACTAGTATTTTTCAGTGCCTCTATCCAAGATTATTGAAGATCTTTATGTTCATTTGGATATTCTTTAATACCTTTTTTCCATATGATTAACTGCTTATTACTGGCATATAGATATATAAGTAACTTTTGTATATTAATGTTTTTATCTAATAATCTTGCTAAATTCTCTTATTAAATCCCATACTTTATCTGTAGACTCTTGAGTTTTCTACATAGTCATTTTATTTACAAACAATGACTATTTTGTTTCCTCCTTTTTAACCATTATACCTATCTCTTCTTCTTTCCTTATTACATGAGCTAGGACGATAGGTACGATTTTGAACAGTGATGGTGATAGCAAACATCTTTGTCCTGTTCCTTATTTAAAGATATGCTTCCAACATTACTTTGGGAAATGCTGCAGGGTTTTTGTGCAGACCTGATAGCAGGTTAAAAAAATTCCCTTTTATTCTCAGTTTACTAAGAGTTTTTTTCATGAATAGAGATATGCAGGATGCTTTTTCTGCATCTGCTGAGATGATCACAAAATTTTCTCCTTTGAACTGTTACTATAGTGAATTATATTTATTAATATATTTTCTAATGTTAAACCACCTACCAGTCTTATAATAAACTTAACCATGATGTATTATCTTTTTTCGAAATTGCTTGATTCAGTTTGTTCATCTTTTTGCATTGATATTAAAAAACGAAAGTATATTATTTTTGTCTAATTTTGGTTTCAAGGTTATATTCATCAAATGAATTGAGAATCATTCTTTCTCGTTCTGTTTTCCAAAATAGTTTGTGTTAATTTGGACTGGTCTATTCTTTGAATGTTTGAATTACTGGCCATTAAAACCTCCTGAGCCTGACTTTGTTTGTTGTTTGTTTTTACTTTATGGAAAGATTTTAATTAGAGATTCAATTTCTCAAAAAAATGTATTAAAATTGCTTACTGTGGGGTAGGTTTTTAAAAATCTCCTCATGGTTCTGTCATATTATGTTTCAAGGCTATATTATTAGAGGCATACAGATTTAGAATTATTTTATCTTCTTGGTGAACTAAATATTTTATCATGATGGAATGTCTTTCTTAAAGTCATTTTGTCTGGTAGTAATATATTTAGGTCATATTTCTTTTACTCGATATTTGCCTGGTAAATTCTCTTTTGAATTTTTGATTTTTAGTTGTTCTGTGTTCTTGTGTTTTACCTCTGACTCTTGTAAATAGTATAAATATTTGTTTCAATCTAGTCTTAAATTTTTGCCTTCTGACTGGAAAGTTTACTCCATACACAGTTGTGTATTTAGATATATTTACACTTTCTGATTATGTGCTTTCTATTTGTCCCATTTTTCATGCCTTTTTCTCTTTTCCCAAATTTCCTTTCTTCTTCATTCTTACTCTCAGCAGGCAATCTTGTTTCCTATTTCACTGAGAAAAAAAAAGAAGCAGTCAGAGGACTTCCACAGGTTCATCCGTGGTATCTCACCACTTCATTGCATCTGGACCCAACTACAGTGCCTGTTCATTCCCCTAACAATGACTATCCCTTCTCACTTTCTTAATGATCCTGCTCTAGCAATTCTCCACTCTGTATTCTGCATCAAAATTTATTCTTCATGGGATCTTTCTCATAAGCATAGGTATATCATTTTTTTCCATCTTACAATAATCCTGTTTCTGGGCCCTATTTCCTCCTCTGGCTACCACTCCATTTCTCTTCTTCATTTTACAGCTAAGTTTTTAAGAAGAGTTGTCTATCCTTTCTGTTGTCATCAGTTTCTGTTCTCCCATTCTCTGAACCAACTCCCATGAGATAAGTTACTGATGACATTCACATTTTAAATCTTCCTCTCACTTTTCGTCCTACTCGATCACACAAAAGCACTTGATTACTCCCCTTTCCTTAAAATATTCTTTTCACTTGGCTTCCAGGAAACAACAATCTCACTCTTTCTCTTACCCCATTAGTAGTATCATAATCTCCTTTTTTTAAAAAATTCCTTCTCTCTCTTACTACCAAACATCGGAATGTTCCAAAGCTCAATCTTTGGAATTCTTTTCTTAGTAACTATTCTTATTCCATTGATGATTTCATGATTTAAATATTTTATATGCCAATAACTTTAAAATTAATATTGCTCAACCAGAGCTGCCTGAACCCCAGACTCACATAAGAAACCAAACTCCTCACTTGTCATCTCTAATGTAACATTCCCCAGACAGACTCCTAATCTTTCCCCCTTCCAATTCTGATCTAGGCACCATCTCCCTCTTCTCCCTGAATGGTGACTCCATTGCTCCTGTTGGCCAGGCCTAAACCTAAGCATTATCCTTGATTCCTTTCTTTTTTCAAATCTACACCTAACCGGCCATCAGGTTCTGTTGGCTCTATCTTTAGAATATATCAAGAACCCTACATTTCTTCCAACTCCATCCTACAATCCTTGTCTATACTACCATCATCTCTCCTGGATTATTACAATAGCCCCCTAACTGGTTTCCCAGCTTCGATCCTCGTCTCTCTTCAGTCTATTTTCAACACTGTAGCCACAGCTAGTTTGTTAAAATATAAATCTGATCCTATCAGGCCTATTTAAAAAGTTCCAAGGCTTCTTATCTCACTCATTATAAAAACTAAATTCCTTACATTAGCCTTAAAGACCTGAACAATCTAGGTCAACCTATATCCCCACATCCCACCCTTTCTTCAAGATATATCTCACCTCACTTCCTGCTGCTAGTCTCAGTATGCTCCCACCAAGCAGGCCTGCTCTCTGGATATGGTTCCTATCAGTCCTTGGGGGCTTTCCACTTGATTTCCCCGCTATTGGAACACTTTTCCCCGGCTGTCTGCATGGCTCACTCTTTTACTTTTAAAATGTCACCCTAGAAGCCTTTACTGACCACACTTCCGATTTCCCTTTCTTACTTTATTTTTCCTATAGCACATATTATCAGACATACTCCATATCTTTTTTATGTAGCTTATTTATTGACTGTCTTCTCCTAGTAAAATTAGCACCTCACCTTTAGCACTTTGGTGCAAATTAGAAAAAGATTCATGTATGCGTGTAATTGCCTACACACACACACACACACACACATGCACAATCTACCCATCCATGCACAGGGTTTGGTTAGCAACTATCTTTGCACAAAGAAAAAAGCATGGGTGGGAGCCGAGTATAGGATGAATTCTACTCACCTCTACCCAGAATTCCTCCCCCATTCAACTCCTCAGCTAGGCGTCTTTGGGCAGAACACAGTCACATAATATTGACAGCCCAAAGTAGACGACTCATGAAGGCAGGCAGTCTGTTCTGCTCAGTGTGTCTGCAGCCCCTTAGAGGGTGGCAAAAAACACTCAATAAATATTTGTAGAATAAATTAATAGTTTGAAAAAATTACAAAAAGTAAAAGATATTAATTACTGTTTTAAAATAAAACATGGATCTTCTTAACTAAATGACATAATCTTGGAAAATATGGCCTCAAAACATTAATGATGCTCATAAAATGAGTAAATTTACTGCTATAAAATAATCTAGGCATTAAGATAATAAGGACCAGTACATACATTGAATATTGGAAAATCTGGGAATTGCTTAATTATATAATTGCATAATAAAAATAAGAACAGAAAAAATCTTGTCCTTGACATTTGTAAGCCAATGGCCTAGGTTTTATTTTTTGCCTTGATAAAGTTGCACTGCTGATTTTAAAGAGGGAAAATCTTTAGTGATTTGCTTAAAGAGGGAAATACTTGACTGCTAAAAATTAAAAAACAGGCAAAGAATAAAGGGATTATAGAATATCTGTAGATGGTATCTGTCTTAGGGTCTCTGTTAATTAAAGTTTTATTTCCTCTTTATTAAAATGTTCATTAAATTCTTTTGCCCATTTATTGGAGCCTAAACTTTTACTTCTCTTCTGAATTTGTGTGATCCTCTATAATATTTAAGACATTAATCTTTTAAATTTACAGCAAACATTTTTGTTCAGTTTATGTTTTAAAAAAACATAGAACTTTAAATTTCATTTACTCAAAATTATAAATCTTTATCTTTGGAATTGTTTCTATCTATTCAGGCTGAAAAAGTCCTTTCTCCACTAGAAATATGACAAATATTTATTTCTGCTTTTTCTAATTTTATTGGGTGACTGATAAATTTTAAAACATTAACCTAAATAGAATTTATTTGAGTGAATTATAGGGAATTAAGCATTATAAAGCACTCTATTATTTATAAGCACTAGGATCAATTCCTATAACTTTTGTATAAAAATAAATGGCAGTCACTTCTCAGAGACAGTTGGATTTAGAGTCATAAAATTCTAACATTTTAAAAAATGTTTCAATTTTATTTAAATGTGTTTTAAAATAAATGAACTGTTAAATATAATTTTAAAAATAAGAGATTAGAAGACTCAATTTAATATATTTTCCATTCATAATCCTCTCTGATCCCTTTCTGTTTAAAGAAATAGCATTTGTTTTGTTTCTTAAAGCTAGTTTAATTTGTCGAGTATTAACAACAGGATTTGCAGTGTTGGAGATGATTCAATTTTTCCCCGGAAACTACACCTTAAACCAGGCATCAAACATGATGAAATGATATAAAACCATGAAACAGCGATTGGTCATTTGCATATCTTCTTTGGAGAAATGTATATTCAAACCCTTTGACCATTTTATAATTGGGTTGTCTTTTTATTGTTCAGCTGTAACAGTTCTCTCATTAAGGTTGACAGGGTGATACTGCTAGGCACCAATGCAATGATAAAGGCAGAAAACATGGGCTCTGAAATTGCATGGTTGTACTAAGTTATAAGATGGTCATCTATAAAATCCATAATCAAATCTATTTATACTGAAATTTTTAAGATTATTATTTTTTAAAAAATACACATTTAAAATATTTGATAGAGAATTAATACCAGAAATACCCTCTTCACTTATTATCTCAAAGAATAATTTGTTCAAAGAGGTTAAAGCAGTGTTCGTTATAGTACAAGAATCAGAAAATGCATTTTCCTAAAGTTTAGTGTTAAGAAAACTTCACTATACCAATATTATGGGCTATATATATATATATAGTGATTAAGAATTATACACATCTGGCCCAGGGCGACAAATGGATATATGTTCATGAAACAATGTTAAGTATACAATATTTGTTTTGCACAGATGTACATTCATATATTTTAATAGATTTATAAATGTTTCTATGCCATTTTGTCCAGACAAAATCTATAAAAATATTTATTGTTATAAACGTTGAAATACATGAATGTATTTATGTTTCTGTATTGTTTCTCTTCAGATAAAATCTATTTCAAACAGTTTATATGTATATTTATAAATCTATTAAAATATATGAATGTACATTGACAAACATAAGAGAATGTTAACATAATTTTGTTTATTGGAATCTCTGGTTTCAGAACATCAGTGTTTTATAAAAATGGTTCTATTTTATTAATAAGCATTGCTCACAAAGCTTCAGTGCTCAAAATAAACTTGAGAATTCCTTAGGAATAGGTTAAGTAAATATCTTTACTGTAGGAATTCTCAAAGCCTGTAATCTATTAATATACATTGTAAATCTCTAAAATAATCTCTATTATTTATCTCGAACTCTATTTTCATCATGATTTACACTTATTTTACTTGTGCACACAAATCTTTAATCTTATTTGCATTTGTTGACTAATTTATCTTCCCAGCCAAACTATAAATTCTATCAGAATGGTAAGTATATCCAGGTTCTTCACCATTATTCCTAGTGACCAGGTCAGGGCACACATCAGGAGCTCAATCAATATTTTTATAGTAAATGAATTATTGGAGGAGCATCTGGATGGACTAACGCTTGAAGTTATGTACTTTGGGAACTACCACTCTCAAGTTATTCAACTGTAGAATAATTTCAAAGAAGAAATTGTGTTAACACCTCTAGGCCACTAGAAATCCATTAATTATTGCTGCACTTAATTGGAATCAATTACTACTTCAGAGAACTGAAGAGATTTCTCAGAGAGCACATCATGACCTGAGAAAATCTTGTGAAATCATTTTTATACTCTGAAACATCAACTGAAAAGCAGCAGTAAAAACTATAGTTACCATGGGATGAGCTGAAAGGAATCACGCTTTGCGTCAATACTAACAGTTTTTTGGAACACATTTCACTATGTGAGATTTTCCACCAAGTATATTTTCTTATTTTAATAGTAAAGTATGAAAGGCAGATATTCCTTTTGGAAAATGCAAATTATTGACTCATTGATTCTCTTTTAGGATAAGTGATTTCACATATTGCTTGATTTTATTTTACTTTTTTGGATAACCAGAAGATCGCTTTAAAAATATTTAAAATATGTGGCTTATCTACATATTTTATACAATTTATGGCTCTGGGATAGGTAGAAAATGGTATATCTTGTAATATATCTTTGTGAAAGTTATATAGGCTTTTTTTTTTTAAAAAAAGCTACACACTTTCATTAACTACTAAGATTCATGAATGTCCTCCAATTGTCCTCCAGAAATGCCATGGGGGGAAAAAAACGTTAATTTCATTATTTGAGAGTAGTGTTGAAGTGAAATAATAAAAATTGATATAAAATTTATTTTCCAGTTACCAAAATGAAAGAATTTTACCAGCTGTCAATGCCCCACACCCTGACACATCACAAGCTTCGCTTATGCCTAAACTTTAAACCTTAATAATATTTGGCGGTGGGGGAGGGAACACATGTCAAGTCAAACAAAGAATGTATTTTCAAAGCAGCATTTGCAAAGGTTAATCTGTGTATGGACTTCAGAGGGGAAAGTGCAGTGTTCAGTGATCGATCCAAGACCTCCTTGTTGGATTTTTCCCTGGTTAATAAACCACCGGGAGAGATAATTTTTAAACTTCATTTGCTGAAATGAGAATTCACTAAAGTATGAAAAAAATCCTCAAATTTAAGAAATTTCGGTAAATTGATTTTATATCTGAGAATAAAGATCTCTTGCTTCTTCTACTGACATCTTCTACACAAAAGATAAGATACTGACTACTTGGTAATCTGCAGGGAGAAATTTCACAGAATCCCAGAGCCAAAGAGGTGCTCTTACAGCTCAGAGACCTCCTGAATACCCAAGGCTATTATGGCCCAGGGAGTTTAAGAGGCTTTCGCTGGAACGCAGGTCTTCTAATTCCAGGCATAACCTTCTTTTCGCCAACACCAAAGCTCGCATGGCACCAGGTAGAGTGAAGGTCAAGGTCAACAGACTGATTTCCAGTCCACCAGCTGTAAGGATCTTCCTATACGAGGGACTTTTAAGCTGTGGTTCGCAAAAGGGCATTTCTGAACATTTTATTATAAAAACAGAATTCAGCCAAAAGATGGTTTGGGTGGGTGGTTAGAGGTGAGAGAAAGAACACGTTCAGGAGAAACAGCGCAGTTTCTTTGGAGACTTGGCAGGAACTGAGAGTGGGGAAGAGGGAATAAGGGTGGTGGGGCGTAATAAAAAGAAAAGTCGAGACGGGAAAGCCGACCACAAAGTACAAAAGCAGTAGATAAGTGGGCTTGATCTTTCTAGAGCTGTTTCAAAAAGAATCCTAGGGGAGCCCTGCACGGGGGCGCAGGCGTGGGGCTGATGCTCAGCTGCTCCCAGTTAGGGGCGAGCTGAAAACTGGAGCCGCGCGGCGGGCTCTCGCCGCTGCACTGCTCGCCCACCTTGGCGCTCAGCGTCCTCCCTGACTCTCCCCCACGCCCTGCTCTGACCTCTCCCAACTCGGTGGCTCCTCCCTGCGCCCCCACCGCTCTCCCGCCTCGCCCGCCGGCCTCCCCGCGCGTAGCCCCCAGCGGCGCGTCCCCGCGAGCCGGCCTCTGCGCGCCTCCTTCCCTCCGCTTCCTCTCCGGCTCGACGCGAGCCAGTCTCGGGAGGCGGGGAAGCAGCCGGAGCGCGGCCGCCACGGCAGCCACCCTGCAGCTGCCGGTCGGAAGCGCAGTCCCTAGGCCCCGGAGCCCGAGCCGTCCCTGGGGAGTCGGCGCCGCTCGCGGAGAGCTGCTTGGCTGGCCCCTGTCCGGCGCGGAGGGCGCGGAGGTGAGCGGGTCGGGAAAGGGCGCGAGACGAGCCGGGGGCGGCGCAGTCGAGGGTCAAGATGCAGGCGGCGCCACGCGCAGCATGCATCCTCCAGGGATTCCGCGCCCTCTGCGGGCGTCCGCCCTGAGCTGGCGGGGTTCCTGATCTCCTGGCACCTTGAGGGAAGGGCGGGAAAGGCTGTCTGTTCCACCGATTCCGCCCCCTACTCCTGCTGGTCATCCCGGAGCTCCCAGGTAGTCCTGAGATTGGGCCCAGGAGTGAAGAGGCCAGGAGAGACATCGTCCCAGATAGGATGTGCCCCAGAGGGAAAGGACGGGCAGATTACCTCAGCCTCCTCCATAGTCCGCTTACCTTTAAGGGTAGATGCAGCGCATTTCATTGAAGATCACGCAGCACTGCTTTGCGAACAGGGAAGTATTTCTAGTAGTCATTTTGTTTATTACCTCGTTAAGTGACCGTGGCGCGTTTAGGCCATTAACTACAATGAGACAAAGTAATTGGCTTCGTCTCTTAGTGTCCTAAATTATGTTTGAGCTTTGTGTTCAGCCTCCGCCAAAACTTGTTGAAAATTATGCCCTAAAAATCTTGCTCTTAAAATAGGGCAGAGATATAAAGAGAATTTTTGTCGAGAGATTTCCATTTATTATCTTCCTCACCCTTTGGAGAAAAATGGTGTCAGTTGTTACTCCTCAGACAGTTCAGTTTTAGATGGAAAAACTTATTACAGGCCTTGATTAATGATCACTCACCACTATAGGTGAAATCGGGAGAAATAGAAATCGAACTCCTGCCCCTACCCCCACCCTCATGACTTTGATTTGATTATAGTCTAGTTAACGGCCCCACTTACTGGGAACCTTTTTAGTTCTTTCCAACCCCTCCTCCTCGCCCTACACCCTCCCCACCCCCCACCCCGTCTCACCCCACACACACTATTTACACCTTTATTATTTCTTCGTTGTGATGATCTTCACTTTTTCCCTTCTCTAAGGCTATGTATTTTTTACTCTGCATCTCTCCTGTTGTTTCAAAGCTTAAAAGCTATTTACAAAAGAAAAATATCCATCCTAGATATTTTGCAGAGTATTTAGAAACAGTTTGCAGTTTCTTTTAGCTAGTTAGTCTTTTGGGGAGTGAGGGAATTAAACAATATCAACAATGATAACTTGAGCTAATCATGCAAAAAGGAAATGAAAAGCTGTATCCAAGTCGCTTTTTATTATACTGGTGCCATGGAAAATATACTTGTAGTTAACGAGCATAATTATATTTTAATACTGAAAAAGCACAGATGAAGGTTAGCAAATGTTTAAAGTAAGGATCATAAATGAGTTAGAAAAATGAGAAAGAAGGCACACCAAAAATTTGAAAGACTAGGACTACAGGACATAATCAGGACATCAGGAAATGCACTGATTCTGTGCTTGGCCAGTTACCATGACATTGACATAACTGTGACATTGACATATCACTTACCCCCTTTGGGCCCACAGGTCTTGATCAAGAAAAAGAGAGATCTTACCTAGAGGCCTATTATATCTCTTTCGGTCCTGACATTTTCCGATGCATTCAACAACAAAGAATATTTATTGCATTCTTATTTACTATGTACCGGGCATTGTGGAGGCAGTGATGGACAAGACAAATCTGGTTCTGCCCTCAAGAAGCTTTTTGTCTGGTGGGGAAAACAGTAATGAGTGAAGAAACAATTACATAAGAGAATTACAAAGGAAACTTAACAAGACCTGAAAGAAAAACAAAACAAAACTGGAATGAATCATTCTACGGAAGAGACATAACAGCATGTGCAGAGTTCCCAAGATGGGAAAGATATTGCTCTTTACTTCTATAAAAGGATGCTGTTGCCGGACCACTGAGAGTAACAGTTATACGGGATGAGATTGGAGAGATGCGCAGGGGCTAGTGAGCTATTTCAGGGCCTTTTAGGTCATAAACAGGAAGGTGGCTATAGTTCTAAGTGCAACAGGAAGCCATTGAGTTTTAAGGAGAAGAGGCACATCATCTGATTTATGTTTTAAGATCATCTTAGCTGCTGTATGGAGAATGATTTGGAAAGAGGCAAAAGAGAAAGTAGTAGGACTCATTAGAATATGTTTGCAGAGTTTAGACTCATTAGAATATGTTTGCAGATGATAGAGACCTGGATTAAGCTCATGTCAGTGGAGAAGGATTTAAGAAATATTTTGAACAGGGATTGGTGTTGGATTTTATGTAAAAGATGAGAAAAGGCAAGGACTTGAGAATGACCCCTAGATTTTTGACTTGAACAGCCAGTGGGTTATGATACCATTTACTGAGATGAGGAAATCTGGATAAATGGGAACAGGTCTAGGTGGGAAGAGTGTTCCATGTTGAACCTGTTAAGTTTGAGATGTCTCTGAGGAGATCATAACTACAGCCTCTTGGGAGGAGCAAAGGGGTGGTCTCCAGGACAGAAGAAAACAGACTATACTTTGATAGGGGAAGTTGGTGATCATGAATTTAAGGTGAAACTAATGAGCTTAGTTGTCTGATTTTTCTTCAGCAAGCTTCACCAACTTGGATACAGAAAATGGATAGCTGGGTTCTTCTAGGCCTAGAGTTATGCCAACTGGATGTAATGGAGAACAAGAGAGTTGTCCTAGTCCATTTAGACTGCTATAACAGCGTACCGTAGACTGGGTGGCTCAAACATTTCTTTCTCACAGTTCTGGAGGCTGGGAAGTAAAACATCAAGACACTGGCAGATTTGGTGTCAGGTAGAGGCCCAATTCCTGGTTCATAGGTAGCTGTCTTCTTGCTGTATCTTCACATGGCAAAAGCAGGGAGAGAGCTCTCTAAGGGGTTTTTTAACTAAGGCACAAATCCCATTCATCAGAGTTTGACCCTCATGACCTAATCACCTCCCAATATCTTCACATTGGGAATTAAGATTTCAGCCTATGAACTGGGGCCGGGAATAGGGACACAAACATTTAGTCCATGACAAGAGTAAATCTTTTTAAGCATGTGAAGATAAATATATACTACAGAATCTAGGATAGGTAAAGAGAAACCAGGAGGAGGTCAGTGGAGAGTGAGAAAATAGTAGGTCAATGAATCAAATTTCTTCTGCTGTCTGGAATTACCAGTGTGAAAGTTTGACTAAGGTTATTGAAAGGTAAGAGATAGTGTTTAAAGATATCAGGGAGTGAGTGACTAACCTGGAGTAGAGGCACAGATTCATTGCCTTTGATGAATAAGCGAAGGAAATAAGAAGCCATGAGGTTGAATGGTTCATCCACTTGAATGATGAAGTACTGGAGAAGAATGACAACTGTTGGGGTAGAGAGGAAGACTGTGCATGTGTTGGGAACCTAAGTCACCAGTGATAAAGAATAAGCTAGAAGTCAGTACATGACAGCAGTGAGTATAGGGAGAGGGTATTATGAGGTGCTGTGAGCCTCAAAGGAGCGGGGTGTTTGCAGGAGAGAAAAAGAAGCAAGGTTCAGATATGGCTTTGCAAAGTGAAAAATCCACCTACACCATCTAATAGCCATGGAAGATTACATTTTCTAGATAACATAGGCATATCAGCGGGTTGTGAATGTCATGGAGATCTCTGAGGACAGCCCGTTCAGTTACTGTCATCCAGTAATTAATGCCCTAGATGTTTATATGTGAAACAAATTTGGTTCTATTTTTCAAAATTAATATAGCATGACAGCTGCCATTTGGCCAGAGGAATGTCAAGAAATTCTTCTAAACTGACACTCTTAGGAGGCCATGTAGTTGAATGTAATCAAATTCTCTTACCTTGATATGTACTTCAAGTATTAAATGCATACAGCAAGTCATATATTCATTCATGAAAACTGTAACCTTGATATTTCAAGGAGCCCATGCGCTCCTTAAATCACAATTTTAGAGCTCATAAAGTTGAAGTGTTACAGCATTAAATGTAAGATAGTGATATTACCATTGTTACATAACTTAAGACTTGTAAACAAAAGAATTTTAGTGTTAGAAAGGAATCAAGTACAATCTCTTTGTTTTTCCATTTAACAAAGGAAACAGACTCAGAAAACAAGGTGATTTCAGAAGCCTGGGCCTGTTCTTTTTTTTTGATACCACATACATAAAACTTTCTATAAATGCCATAGTCTTCTCAATTATTTAATCTGTATGACTTGTAAATAACATTAGTTGAAAAGGTAGCTGGACACTAGGACCTTGCTAGTACAAGCGTGGCCCATAGACCAAGACCACAGGCATCACCTGGGAGCTGGGGAGAAATGCAGCATCTTGAGCCTCACTCCAGACCTAGAAAATCAGAATGTGCATTTTAATGTGCATCCCCAGGTACATTCTCAGGTGATGATATTCACATTAAAGTTTGATAGGCGCTATTCTAGAGTAAGTCAGTCCACTTGGAAACTCTCATCTGCTCGTGTCAGCAGAACCTATGATGCCTGGAAAACTGAGGAGAGGAGCCCCTTGTCAGACAGAAGGAAGCGATACCATCACTGGAACATACTGAATTTTGAATGTTTTGAAACAACAGGAACAAAGTGTGCCGTGCAGTGGGATGACACATTTTAAGGAATGGCACTGCCCTTCCAGAAAATGAACAGAGGAAATTGCAAAATAGTGAGTGGACTTTCTGATACTGTTCCTGCCTGAGTGGGAAAGGGGAAAGGACTGCATGCAAATTCTTCAGCTTCCTGCATTCAAAGGCAACTGTTACTCTCCTGCTAGAGTTATTTTTTCATTACAAGCAGCAATGTAAACATGAACGTAATGGAGAACCAAAAGCCACATCTGTAATCTCCAAATACCAAGAGAAGCATTAGGTTGAATCCTGAATCTTTTAGTAGGGATTTTTTCTATCTTGGCTGCATATTAAAACAACTGATGATATCTTTAAGAAATCCTGATGCCCAGGCTGAATCTCAGATCATTAAATAAGAATCTGGGCGGAGGGGTGGTGGTAACTAGGTGTCACTGTTTTAAAGCTCCTCAGGTCAAGGTCAGTCCAGTGTGTAGCGAGTGTAGAGAACCATGGCTTCAGTAGGTTGTTCCTCATTGTGGGAGGAGGCAGCTCTGAGATTGCAACTCTGCCTCTACACTTAGCCAAACGATGGGATCCTTGATTCCTCCCATAGCACGAAGCAGAGTCAGCAAAACTGCTGTGTATGTTAAACCAGTGGGGCTTTCAGAACATTGAAGGAGGCAGGACTTTTTAAAAGGGACTTACTCTTGTCCAATTTTGTTAAAATTTGAGTAATAACAGCTCCTACTGATGGAAATGTTATAAAATTGAATTGTGATGGTTGCATTAACTGTATATTTCCTGAAAATTATTAATTTATACACTTAAAGTGGGTAAATTTTATGTTGTGTAAGTTACACCTTAATAAACATTTTTTTAGTTGCTGTGTATGCTTCAACATTCATGATTTCATCATATTGATTAGACAGGAAGCCAGACCTGTTTTGTGTCACTGGAGGGTCAGCACGTAGCCAAATGCCTAGTTGACAGGGCTCAATAAGTTATGGAATAAGTGAATGGTTGGGTATGAATGAGTGGATAGATGGATGCTTATCATTATGATCTTGGGGTATGGACTAATATCTAAATTGATGTCAATTACCAGAGATCCCCGAAGTTGTTAGCACTCAGTGGGCATTGGTGCCATTTGTAACCTGTTTTATGCTATGGCATTGAAATAGGGAAGTTGGTTTGTGTGAAGGATAGAATGTCAAGCCTTTCACAGAAGATTATTTATTTACAAGTGAGTTATTGGAACACCAAAAAAGTTGTATTTGCTAGCCAATAAACATAGGTATCTATATCTCAAAGTACCATCTGCAACAAGGTTATCAATGGGGAATTTATTTCAGCCTCACTATGACCCGCCACTGCTAGCTTCATTTTAGACTTACCCATTGGTCATCATATTAACTAACATGCAGTGCCCAGGGCATGTGGCTCTGTTTGACATAGCAGGCTACACTAGTGAGATGGATGAAGGGAGATGTATAGCATTCCCCTCTGTCCAATAAGTAAAAGAAAAGTGGGGAACTATGGTGGGGGGGGGCGGGTTGCTTTAATTTATTGACGAAGATCCTAAAATTTTATTAACTGAAGTCTTTGGGAAATACATTTTTAAAATTGAATTTCTAAACCTAAATTTAAGCAGAAAGCTTTTTTGTTGAAAATCTTTCTGGCATGAATTAGACTCTTTCCTGCCCTGGTATTACAATGTAATAAACATATGAAGTTTTGTTTTGGTGACTTAGGATCTGGATATGGCATAAAAATATCCCTATATAAATATGGAATACAAACTGAGCCTAGGAAATATCTTGGAAATTATTGGTTATTTTGGATTTGTCTCATTAAAATTCTGGTTATTTGAAGAATCTGGGAGGCTTGGAGTTAGTGAAGCTTTAGCTATAAAACTATTATATTTTTTTTCTGAAAATTCTTTGGTTGTACTATAAAACATGAACAACGAAAGGCACTCAGATCCAAGTATGAAATATTAATAAATCACTTACAATTATAACAGTTTATAAATCAGAATTTCAAAGAATAAATCTTCATAGTTTTAATAAAATTACTGTTTCAACATTTTTGGAAAATGATTTTCAAATGAGGATGCATACTAATTATTCAAGAGTTTCAGCTGAGGGAAAGACTTTAATAATTAACAAATAGATTTTAATGTTCAAACAAATAACAGAATAGTAGCTGGACTACATTACACGAGGGCAGTTATTCTCAAACTTTAACATGCATCAGAATCACCTGAAGATTTCTTAAAACACAGATAGCTGGGCTCTATCCTCAGGCTTTTTGAGGTCTAGGGTGAGGCCTGAGAACTTACATGTCTAACAAGTCCCCAGAGGATGCTGATACGCTTGGACCACAGCTGCTTAGGAGATCACATTCTAATTTGTCAAGCAGAATTACAGCTTTGCTTCTGGTGTTTCCTAAAGGATTTTAAGAACTTCTTCCAAAAAATAAAAACCTAAAAATACCCATCTCTTCCTTCAAAGAAATTTTGTATTGTCATGGATATAAATAAACAGTTGGGTTTTATTTGTTTATTTAAATACCAAGAGAATTTAGGTTATTTCTATGCAACCCAGAGGTCATAATAGTAGAAATCACTGCTTAGTTACAGAAAATTAGATTGGGATATTTGATATTTCATCTCCAGAATGTATTCGCCTGAGGATTAAGCAGACGCCTCCAGCTGTAAGGAGCTTTTCTCCCCCTCCAGAAGGGCGTCTTCTCCAACAGGCTTAAGGAGCATTTTCATATAGAGAGCTTCCTAATGCCTGCGAAGTAGTGCTCCTCAGGCCTCCAGCTCTTACCGACCAGTAAAACGAAAAAAAAAAAGGTGGAGATCCTCATAGGACTGCCAGCTCAAACATGTGTTATTATCGCTATCCTTTTATGAATAAAGGACATTTTCACCCCAAAAAGTAGGAAAGGCATACTCTCAAAGGACAATTCTTTAAGTTGAATAATTTTATGAAAAACTCCCTACTGTTTCCACGTACTTAAATTTTTTTTAATTGAAGTATGATTGACTTACAATGTTATGTTAGTTTCAGGTGTACAACATGATTCAATATTTATATACATTACAAAGTGATCACCATGATAAGTCTAGTTACCTTCTGTCACCAAAGTTATTAAGTATTATCAACTATATTCTTTATGTTCTTCATTACACTGTGGCTTATTTATTTTATAACTGTAAGTTCGTCCCTCTGGGAACCACCAGTTCTCTATATCTATGAGCCTGTTTCTGTTTTATGTTTTGTTTTTCAGATTCCACATATAAGTGCAATCAGATATTTTCATTCTGACCTATTTCACTTAACATAATACCCTCCAGGTTCATTCATGTCGTGGCAAATGGCAAGATTTCATTCTTTTTTTTTTTATGGCTGAGTAATACTCCATTGTATATATGTACCACATCCTTTTTATCCATTCATCTATAGTAGACACTTAGATTGTTACTGTATCTTGGGCAGTGAACATAGGGGTGCACATGTCTTTTCAAGTTAATGTTTTCGTTTTCTTCAGATAAATACCCAGAAATAGTATTTCTACATTATACGGTAGTTCTGTTTTTAATTTTTTGAAGAACCTCCATACCATTTTCCATAATGGCTGCACCAGTTTACATTCCTACCAACAGTGCATGAGGGTTCCTTTTTCTCCAAATTCTTGCCAACACCTGTTGTTTGTTGAATTATTGATAATAGCCATTCTAATGATGTTGAGCAACTTTTCATGTGCCTATTGGTCATCTGTATGTTTTCTTTGGAAAAATATCTGTTCAGGTCAAATGCTTATTTTTTAATCAGGCTTTTGATTATATGCTGAGGTGAGGTTTTTTCTGCTTTTCATTCTAAGTACATTCTTGTCTCTTCCTAACTAGAGTATAAATTCCTCGAGTGTAAGCACCGTGCCTCTTTTGTCCTTTGTCTCCCATGTGCAAAGCACACAGTGGCCTCAATAAATCCATGCTGGTTCAGAGCAGGATAGATCTGTCTTTAGATTATAGTTGCAAAGACTATATACTTTCAGGGCTTATTTCTATAGTTTGTTACTAGGTTATAGTTGTATCATTCTTTGTCAATGAAAATGTACAGTGTAAGGTGTTTAGTATCCTTTTTTCGTAAATACTGGGTAACCACTTTCAGATATTGATATTATTCATTTTTTTATAACCTCATTTTTTTTTATATCACAGTATTAACTTCAGTTAACTTGTTCACCAAATGATCCAAATGGTAGTTTAGCAAATTATAAATTGATTGATAAGATTTTGCTTCAGTGTCTCAGCACCAGATAGTTACTGATAGTGTGTGAGTTGCTCTTACGTCTATGTATAGATGAGTTTCACAGGATATGGATACACTTCTAGGCCCTTCTTCCCTCCCTCGAAAAAGCAGTACACACCTTCATGAGGTCTGCAGAGTCCCAAGAAGACAAATGGGTTGCTACTCAGGGTTTGTAGCATTAATAAATTTAGGTCTTTGGTTGGTTTTGATCCAAAAATTGAAGTTATTTCAATATTTTATCTGTTTTGTAGCTGGAATTCCTAAGCATATTGCTTTGGATTTACCTAAAACTTTCCTGAGATCCATATTGTAACTATTTAAAATTAGTATTGTTTTTAGAGAATATAGTTACAGTTGACAGAGATGTAAACAATTTTAAGATTCCCCATATAATGTTTGCATCTCAGTTTTAGGATGAGCAGAGGTGGGAAGACTCATATTTGAATCCTCATTGAGTCACTGTAAACTGCATTGTCTTAAGAAAATTGGTAGTCTTTCTGAGTCAGTTTTCTCATCTATAAGATGGGGATCATATGTATTCGAGAATTAAATGAGATAATACTTTATATGAAAACATTATGAACTATAAAGTAGCACACAAGCATATTGTAGTATTGCATGCTTTCAACAGTACACAATAAGCTATCTGTCAGATCCTTTAAAGGTTGTTTTTTTTTTTTTCTCTTTCTCATGAATTCTTTTACATTCTTTAAAACTATAATGGAAAGAGTCTCATTTATTAGGCCCACTTTTGTTTGTAGCCACAGTCACACTATTAAAAGGTTCAGTTAGAACTTGCCATTGGAAATATAATGTGAAAAAGGCCTAAACATGTTAGAACAGAGTCACCCATAAATATGTATAAAATACATGCTATAATGAGAGACCTATAGGTGATGTTATTAGATCCTAATGTATTTTTACCTGTTTACGTTCTGATTTACCGAAGGGGTTTGAACTTGCTTGTAAAATAAGCAGATAACTGATAGCGTTTTGGCTTAGTTTCATTTTTAGTTTGAAAAGGCCTTGATCATTATGCTTTCTTAGATTTAATGATTTTGCAATTCTTATATCTCTACTCAGAAGAACTCAGGACCGGGATATAGGACACTTGGGTTCCTGTGTCTCAATCTAGTAACCCTTTGACCCGTAGGTAACATAAATGATAAGGGTAAAGTAAGTAAGTTGGTCAGTTCATCTTGAATTGTCAAATGAAACGAGCATTGATTTAATTACTTCTGGTTCCTTTAACTGCTCCTCAATCCCAAGATAGCCCATTATTTCTACAGGAAGATGTTGACAGTTTTGTACTACCCTGGTGCCTCTGACCTCTCCTGGACCTCTGGGTGTTTGGAATCACTGCAAGGGAAAGCAGATATTTACCACTCCTTCTATCTTGGAAAATGTGTAATGAAATATATGTAATACATTCAAAAATAGTGAGTTTTCTCTTTCCGCAGGATCTGAGTTAGACATTACAATCACTAGGTAATGCTGAGGGGCAATGACATGGCCGAAGGAGAATATACTAATATGGACACAACTATTACCCTTTTAGCTTCCCCACCCCCTACACACACCCCCAAAGGAAAGCCCTTTCTCAAATTGTTTACATGGACCCAAATGACACATGCCTTCGCTGAACTGCCTGGATTCTAATCCTGGCTCCCCCACTTTCCCTCTTATGACCTTGGACAAATTAATTTTCTATGTGTCTCAGTTTCTTCATCTTCAAAGTGTGCATGACAATATTAGTACCAATCTCATAGGGTGGTTGTGGGGGTTCAATCAGTTAATATAAAGCACAAACAAACCTGGCACAAGAATGTGCTTTAATGAGTATTATGTAATAGTATATCGTCTTTCTGAAGATTAATTTACTGATTCTTTGGAGTCATTGGCTCTTGTAATTTAAAATTTCATTTAGTGAAAACCCCAAAAACATGTTTTTGAAGTATTCCCCTTATTCCTGTAAAATCCATTAAATCCTCTGAAGTGATCCACATCTGTTAGCATAAAAGAAATTGTGCAGTGGGGGAAAGGGGAATGGAAGAGTATTTTTCATTCAGACCCAGTAGTGACACTGAGTCACGGCAATCTGATTGGATTTATTGAATAAGTCATTATGAACATTCCAGATGTTAGTCACTTAAATAAAAAAGAATTTGACAGAATTTTCTGGAAAGAATAACTGCATCATATTCTATTCCACCAATGAAAAGAAGAAAATGATTTCATAAGTACTATGTAATTTAAGACCATAAACACATTATACCATTTTCACAGGGAAGCTATCTTTCTCAGTAATAAGTTATAGGATGTAGGGTGAATGATAGAAGCCAATGATATTTAATTAATCCTTTGTTATATACTGATGCCTATTTTTTTTAAGATATTTAAGTGCCAAGGTTCATTTTTTGTAGATTTATCTTACTCTGAGCTACTGAGGTGTATAGGATAGTTTGTAGACTCCACTCCCAAATGACTCTAGACATTTTGGATTTAAGTAGTTCTTTGTTTTGTACGATTTTTCTGTCTTCTGCTCTTCTGTGTGCCATCACATCCTATCACAGTCCTTTCTACGTCTAGCAGCTTTTCCGATTTGCTGCCTCTAATCTGCTGAGAAACAGGGTAATCAGAATTGTTAGAAATGTGTTTATAAAAAGTTCTTGGTGAAAATACCAATCTCTTCCTTTTGTGCTGTAGTGCCTTGCTGCTCAAAGGGGTCCACAGACCAGAAGCATTTTATTAGAAATGCAGAATCTTGGGCCTCACTCCAGAACTACTGAATCAGAATCTAGTTTAACAAGATTCGCAGGTGATTCATGTGCACATTAAAATTTGAGAAGCCTCGCTTAGCATATCAACTTTGTGACAGTTTCATTTTCTATTTAGCTTAAAAATTGTATCTTGCTGAGATCTAGGTTATATAGCTTGCCAAGATACTTAACCTAGAAACGAGGGACATTATTATAACGTCTAGAAGTATATTAATGTTTGGTAATAGCTAATTGATGAACATTTTATTTTCTCTCTCCTAGGATATCCCTGGTGATCTTGGAAGAATCCATATCATGGAATCGATCTCTATGATGGGAAGCCCTAAGAGCCTTAGTGCCACTTTTTTGCCTAATGGCATAAATGGTATCAAAGATGCGAGGAAGGTTACTGTAGGTGTAATTGGAAGTGGGGATTTTGCCAAATCTCTGACCATTCGACTTATTAGATGTGGCTATCATGTGGTCATAGGAAGTAGAAATCCTAAGTTTGCTTCTGAATTTTTTCCTCATGTGGTAGACGTCACTCATCATGAAGACGCGCTAACAAAAACAAATATCATATTTGTTGCTATACATAGAGAACATTACACTTCCCTCTGGGACCTGAGACATCTGCTTGTGGGTAAAATCCTGATCGATGTGAGCAATAACATGAGGCTAAACCAATACCCAGAATCCAATGCTGAATATCTAGCTTCCTTATTCCCGGATTCCCTGATTGTCAAAGGATTTAATGTTATCTCAGCTTGGGCGCTTCAGTTAGGACCTAAGGATGCCAGCCGGCAGGTGTGTATTTTACATTTTTATTCTTATTTACCTGGTATTTTGTATTTGAGTAGTTAAATAAATATTGTACATTGAAAAACCTTATTCTGACCACCCCGCCTCCACCAATGATTATCATTTTGAAAAGTATGCATGAGCACCTGAAAGTTCATGCTCGACCTTGTAAGGACACATTTCCATTCTCAAAATAATGTGGAAAGCTGAGAAAATAACTTGGACTTCTCTGTCATGACCAGCTCATTCAAGAAAAGGCAAGGTTGGCCAATAAATAATTGGACACATTGTGTTGAGTCTCTCCTTGCCTCTTCAAAAATAGAAATAATAGCAAACAGGTCTTTTTTCTTTCCCTCCCAACCTTTTGTCCTTCCCCCTCTTTTTATTTCTTCCCTCTTCCTTCCTCACCATTTAGTAACACAGTATTCCATCTCTGCATTAAATACTATTTAGCGTGGTCCTCAAGGATGCTTTAGAAGTACCTTTTTATTTTACATAGAATATTCATAGAATTTCAAATAGTACACTTTGTTTCATTTTAAGTGTAGATTTTAATCTGTTTAAGGAGGATAAAGGAAGACTGAGTTTCTTAGGTTTTCTTTTAATTTAGGGGTTCTATCTAGTTCGACTTGAGAATCACGCAGATGGGGCGCTCCATCAAGGCTCCTGTGGAATGAGAACTTTTATAAGTACACATATAAAATAGTGCACTTTAAAAATCTTTTAAAGGTGTGGTTATGCATTATAATTAAACATGATGATAAAATACTTGTATTATTTTTGTCCATAAAGACAGTTGATTAAATGCCTTAGAAAATAAATTCAAGTATTGTATTATTGTACACTACAAAACAGAATCACCATAACCATTCACTTTCAAATCCTTAATTTGGAAAGCTAATAAACATATACTTTCCACCTTTCCTAGATGATATTTCTGAATCCTTTTTTTTTTCTTTTGTATATCCACCAAAGTTTAGCAATGGATACAGATCAAACAAATTAGGGATAAACCTGAATTTAATCCTTTGCCCATATACATGATAATTTTAATTCTTTAACAACAACAACAACAAATTTGTGGCACAGTACTTAAATTCAAAGTGAGCTGCAAAAATAGTTTCATTTGTATTTCATAGTCCTCATTTCCTTATTATGAATATTTGATTTATACTTTCGGGTTTATTATAAAATTTTACTTATAATTTATAGGGTTTTATCCAATGAATAAAAGAGTTTACCATTGTAAACTATAATAAATTAATTTAGAATGCTTTTCTTTATTTCTTTTGTATGTAGGTATTCTTCCTCACTCTGTTTTAAAAGTTCATGAACGTTTGTATAATAGTATAAACTTTGTCATTCATCTGGCTTATATTTGGTGAAATTAATAATCCAAAGAGCTTTACATTGCCAGCATAATGTAAATAGGTTTAACATGCAAATATTTCATGTGGTCTGTTCCAGAGCCCTTATATAAACATCTTTAAGGATATATTTAGGAATTTGTTTTCCCCAAACACTACTCAAAGACTTTATAGCAATATTTTTCTAGCCTTAAGTGAGATGACCTACCCATAAGTAATAGTGGCTTACTGCAGCAGTAAATTTGGTGCTCAACAAATATTTGTTGAATTCTCAACTGCAGTACTTTATCTAAGAGGTTTTGGTAGTTCAAAAGCTCACCCTCACCCACGTTAGAGTTCCTATAGAGCTAATATTTTAGTCTTAGAAAATGGCAGTTGATTTACTTTTTAAATTAACTTAAGCCTTTATAATATGATTTTCCCCCTCTAGGTATATTATCATTGAAAAATGAAAGAATTTCATATTCTGACCAACGAAATAATATACTTGAGATAATCCATGGCTTGTCAGAGATGTTTGGTGAATTGATTTCTAAGCCAAGAGATAAATTTTATAAATAGTGCTGCATCATGACATAATTACAAATTCAGCCATCCAGAACCCATGACCACCATCTTCTCGCTTGCTGAATATTTGTAAAGGGCAATGCTTGCAAACACTCTACTAGGCAGAATCACTACAGTCCTAGAACTAAATATTGTCCAGAAGAGCCCCACTCTGTTCCCTGTGGGAGAGGGAGAGCTAGAGTGGGGAAGAGCATGGCCTGCAGCTCAAACTCCACCTCCCCCCCCACCCCCCACAAAAGGGAGATCTTAAATTGTCAGTACCACCCAGCCATGGTCTAGAAACCTTTCTTTTCTCCTGACGTCCTTGCTCTGAGGACTTCCTGATCCCAGATTCTAGCTAGTTTCTTCTGCATTTTATTTTCATGTCATCACAGTTAGCAAGAGCTTTGTTTTCTATTATACTATTTTAATCTATTAATAAATATATTAATCAATAAATGCTTTACCTCCTTAACTTTCTGCATCACTCGAAGTCACCACAAGTGATGCTCCATAGATTAAGTGCAGCACGGGATCATTACCATTTTTATAAACAATAATAATGATGTCTCTTTTGTTTTCGCTGCAGGTGTATATATGCAGCAACAATATTCAAGCTCGACAACAGGTTATTGAACTTGCTCGGCAGTTGAATTTCATTCCTGTTGATTTAGGATCATTATCATCAGCCAGGGAGATCGAAAATTTACCCCTGCGACTGTTTACTCTCTGGAGAGGGCCAGTGGTGGTAGCCATAAGCCTGGCCACGTTTTTCTTTCTTTATTCTTTTGTCAGAGATGTGATACATCCATATGCTAGAAACCAGCAGAGTGACTTTTACAAGATTCCTATTGAGATTGTGAATAAAACCTTGCCCATAGTTGCCATTACTTTGCTGTCCCTGGTGTACCTGGCAGGTCTCCTGGCAGCTGCTTATCAACTTTATTACGGCACCAAGTATAGGAGATTTCCTCCTTGGTTGGAGACTTGGTTACAGTGTAGAAAACAACTTGGATTACTAAGTTTTTTCTTCGCTTCAGTTCATGTTGCCTACAGCCTCTGCTTACCAATGAGAAGGTCAGAGAGATACTTGTTTCTCAACATGGCTTATCAGCAGGTAGGGAACATGTTTGTTATTTATCTGATGCTTAATATAATTTATAAAATGTGAGATTAACAATAGGGTACAACTTTACATACCTTGTAATAGAAATTGGTATATCTAGGGTGGTATATCTAGGGTGGGGAAAGTATTCTTTAAACAATGTTTCTGCCTAAGAATTATGTGGCTAATTTAAAATCTTTTAGGGTAGAAGCTGCAAGCATCCCTTTCTTTGCAGAATAAAAGCAGAAAAATAAAGGGTTGGGTTTCTCTCTTTTTTTAATGTTACGATTACAGCAATTGCTTTCAGCACTAAACAGTTCCTTATTGTAATGTTTTGTGCCATGAAAAGTTAAGGCAATTCTTAGTAAATGTATACATAAATTAGAAAATATAAAACCAAATAGGAAGTCAACATCAGGAGACATACACTTCCAAGGTTTTTGTTCTCAAAAAGCAGAAAAGATACTAGTTCCTCAGGTGAAGCTTTTCTAGCCCTTAGCTCAAGAAAATCTCAGGGAATGCTACACGGAAGGAGCTTGATAATGGAGTAGACTGTGATTTCCTCAATAATTCCCATTCAGCAAGTGTAAAATAGAGGGTCTCATTGAAGCTCTCTGACATAGCATTTCTCAGTGAAAGCCAATGACACTGCACCAAAACAAATGCGTAAAAGCTTTTTCTTTTTATGAGGAACCAAGGCATCATAGTCCATGTATGTAATAATCTGAAAAAAAAAATTAATACATTAATGTTCTTTAAGCCATTCTTTCACTAAAAATACCACTTCTCTTAACTGAATGCTAAGGCTTTGATATCTACACAACCAGCTTTCTTCCTCCTTCAAGTCATTTGCTCAGGTCTTACCTCCTCAGTGAGGCCTGCCTTGGACACTTTTAAATCCTGCTACCTGCTTTCACGGAATCCCGATACTCCCAGTTCCTCTTACTTACTCTGCTCTACTTTCTTTTTTGTCAATAGCAATTCACCGCCTTCTAACACCCTTTATGTTTTCCTTGTTTATTATATTTACCGTTGTCTGCCTTCTCTCATCAGAATATAATGTTGAACAAACTCCAAAAAGTCTGGAGGCTTTGCTAGAAATAAATGGTAGAGATTTATTCAAGGGTCCTGGAGTTTGCAAACTGGGAACACACCTAGGCAAAAAGCCGGAAGTGTTCCAAAGAAGAAAGAAAAGTTAAAATTTCTTATAGTAAAAAGTACAATCTTGAGAATTATCAGTCCTGCATTCTTAGCCCTAGGATTGGTCCAGGATGGTTATCAGTCAGATGTCAGGCAATCAGGATGATAGATGCCAGGTGGTATAGAAGATGGGTGCCAGGAAGTCTGGTCAGGTCCCACTGGTCTGGATAATGTTTATCAGGCAGATGTATACATGAGTCCTTCCAAGGGTAATCAGGTGGCCTGGATCAGTGAGTTCTTCAGGGGATAATTAGAAGGTGACCTAGAGGTCCAGATGTATGTCCAGGCAGTGACACAGGACAAGAAAGTTCAAAAATGTTTAAGTTCCCAGGCTGCTTAGAACAAGAATGGAGTCTTTCCTCATGCCTCAACCTTCATAGTGTTAATTACTTTAGCAACTTGGTTAAAATGACTCCATTTTATATATTCCCTATCTTCACTCTTTGCTCAGTAAGTTCATGAGAGGAGGGATCATTATCCATTTTGTTCACTGATATATGCCTAGAACTGTGCCTGGCACATAGCAGACACTCAGAAAGCATATTTGTGGAATGAAAAATGAACTGGGAGGCCAGGTAGATCCAGATTGTAACCTCTAGGTATGCTGAGGTCTGTCATTGTCCCGTATTGTTGTATAGACATCAAATGAGACAGGAAGAGCCTTTTTCCACAGAGGAACTTTCTGGCTTTTTTTTTCAGGATGTCGGTATGATTGCTTCAGGGACTACTGGCTAAGAACTAGCTTTTCTTTGTTTTAATTTCAAGTATGTTTGGTTAACTGGAACTAGACAAAGTTAAGCCAGTATTAAATTAGAATGTTTTCCATGAAGAGATGCTTATTTAAATCAAAGCTTTAGCCCAAGAATCCAACCTTTGATTTATACTCTGATTATATTGTTTGCATGAAAATAGACAATTCTAACAACAATCCCTATGCAGAATACCACACATTAAGAGTTAATCATGTCTGACTTGATTATGTATGCATTGTCAATTAAGGGAAAGATATTTGGAGAAGTGTATAAAATAATGAGGCAATTCAAGTGAATAAATATTTGCATTTGGTAGGGCTTTATCCTCAGGAAAATCTCAGGTTCCTGGGGAAAAGAAAGTAAGAAGAGATACATCAATATATAAATCTTCATGTGAGAGAGGAAGATACAGAATAGTTAGAAATTCCCTTCCAGGATTCTAAGTTGAACTAAGACCAGAATGTACTGAAAATATTCAGCCAAATTTAAACCAACTTGTAAAAGTACCTGGAAACCAAGTCTAACTGCTAGTATTTCGTTTATGTCACTCTGGAACTAACCACTTGGCATTTCATGGTCTTAGGACTCCAGAGGCCATTAATGACAGGTTCACCCACTCTTCTCACATGTATGCAAGGAAGGAGAGAATCTTAATCCTCTTTTTGTTTAACTCTCCCTTCTCTTCCCCCCACACCTGGAACAATACCATCCAGCAATAGGTACTCCATTACAGTTTGTTAAATTGAATTAATACAACTTTAATATATCCATATCCTTATGCCAAGAGTGAACTCTGTGCTGAGTCAGGTAATGTTCTACCCAATAAAGGAAATTCACATTTGCTCTCTTATTAGGTTCATGCCAATATTGAAAACTCTTGGAATGAAGAAGAAGTCTGGAGAATTGAAATGTATATCTCATTTGGCATAATGAGCCTTGGCTTACTTTCCCTCCTGGCAGTCACCTCCATCCCTTCAGTGAGCAATGCTTTAAACTGGAGGGAATTCAGTTTTATTCAGGTATGTGGGGTTTTGTTTGGTGAAGGAATAGGCTGCGAAGAATTTATGTGTTAAGTATAGTTGAATTTTAAATTATGCTTCTTATAAAAAGAGTGCTTTTGGGGGGTGCATTTATGTGTCTAGCTTGGAGAACACTTATCTTTGGAGGCTGGCTTAGGGCCATTCTGGTTTAGTAAGTGAAAGACCAGTACAGGATTCTGCTGGAAGGCTTTGATAGCATTGCCTACTATGCTATGGATAAAGGATGTTTTTCAAAGAAAAAAAAAATGAAAGTAGGGGTGATAAACTTAGATCAAGTTTAATGTCAAAAGTCAATGTATTATTAGCCAAATGCATGAAGAATTGTCTTATATTTGTGTCATATTAATCTGTCCAGAAAAATCTCATTAATTTGAATTCAAGTGTGGAGAAAGTAAGTCTATTTTAAAAGAAATGTGTGTGTATACACACACAAACAAACACAAGCAGTAACTAGGTAACTAGGCTAATGGATTATGATGAGCAACCAGCCTTATGAATCTTGTTAGTATGTATTTAGTGTATAAGTTATATACGTATGTATTTGCGTGTCTATAAAAGGGTTGAGAACACCATTGTTCTTTAATAAGTTGAGTAATCACCTTCTCCAGTAATCATTATTTAATAAATTTCAATACTTAAAAAACATGTAACTCAAATTTAGATCCTACCTACATTATCACAAAATTAGTACTGGTTGTATCCAGACAGTATACAGCACAATAGGCAGATGAGTGTGTTTGTTGATAAATTAATTTGGAGGGTTTTGCCAGTTTGCTTGAGCTTTTTTGTTTTTACGTCATCCAAAAATCTCATTCAAATTAAAGGTAGATCCCTTGTCTAAATTCATTTTTCCTTCTGGAGGAAAGAAAATGTGAATGCTTTCTCAACTACTAGTTTAATCACACCTGAAAAAGAAATAGAAAGCCTTCTGATAAAAGGTGCTAGACGGGTGCAAGTTATCATTATAAATTTAGATGAGTAATTGCAAACAGTCTTGCCTAGAGACTCGATCTTTTCCCCATGATGCTAGACATTACATCATTATACGGATATAATACCACACTTTATGTAACATAGACCATTTCTCAAAGTAAGCAATTGAACATAATAATTTAGGGAACCCAGAATACTGATCTTTTAGATTTTAACCTGTAAATTGCTTAACTGAAATGCTCTTTATTTTTTGTTTTTTTAATTAAATGTATTGGGGTGCTATTGGTTAATAAAATTATATAGGTTTCAAGTGTACAATTCTATAATACATCGTCTGTATGTTGCACTGTATGTTCATCACCCAAAGTCAAATCTCCTTCCGTCACCATATATTTAACCCCCTTTACCCTTTCCTACCTCCCTCCCCCTTTGGTAACCACTAAACTGTTGTCTGTGTCTGTGAATTTTTGTTTGTTTGCTTGTCTTGTTCATTTGTTGCTTTCAGTTTTATATCCCACATATGAGTGAAATCATATGGTTCTCAACTTTTTGTTTGACTTATTTCACTTTTCATGATAATCTCAAGATCCATCCATGTTGTCACAAATGGCAGTATTTCGTCTCTTGAAGTGCTCTTAATAACCTCTTTTAATATGATCAATAAAGCTACATGTTTGAAATGCGATTTATATTACATATTAATATATAAGATTTTTCATATTTGCCTTCAACTAGTATGTATATATGTATGTATATACTCATGAGAATGTTCTTCAGCATTTAATTTTATTATATGTGCGTATACATATGTATGTATATGTGCGTATACATATGTGTGGATGTACATATGCATACAGATACACACATTTTTTAAATATGCACAACTGGCAGAAATGTGGATAACCTTTATAAAGAAGTTTAGCTGTTTTTATCAACAACCTTAAGAAAAAGTTAGATGTTTTGACCAGCAATCAGTTCTAAGAAAAGAAACCAAAATATAGAAGAGAACTTAAAGTGACATTATTTATAGTTGAGGAAAGCTGGAAACAGTAAATGATCAACAAAAAGGAATGGTTAAATAAATTATAGCCCATCCATTCAGTGGAGTATTATACAGCATTAAAGTCATGTTTTCATGTTTAATGACATAAGGAAAAAAATTTTTGATATAATAAATGAAATAATTAGAATATCAAACTATATGCAGTATGGCCTTATTTGTGTAAAGTGTGCATATAAATATATATGAAAATGTTTGAATTATTTCATTCAATAGAGAACAAAGAGTAGCTCAATAGGTTATGATATAATAGTTTTATCAAAATATAAACATGGTATAGCCAGATGGGTTAATTTATGAGTCTAAATAATTTGTTTCTTATTCCTTGTTTCTTTTCCTTCCTCTGCTGCCCCAAGTCTACACTTGGCTATGTCGCTCTGCTCATAAGCACTTTCCATGTTTTAACTTATGGATGGAAGCGAGCTTTTGAAGAAGAGTACTACCGATTTTATACACCTCCGAACTTTGTCCTTGCTCTTGTTTTGCCTTCGATTGTAATTCTGGGTAAGAGCATTTTACTTCTTCCATGTGTAAGCCGAAAGCTAAAGAAAATTAAAAAAGGCTGGGAAAAGAGCCAATTTCTAGAAGAAAGTATTGGAGGAGCAGTTCCTCACCTCTCACCAGAGAGGGTTACAGTAATGTGATGATAAATGGTGCTCGCTGATGCCATATGAAGTTCTTACTGATGCCATTATTTGTATAACTTCCTCTGTTCAGTTCCCAGTGCACTGTCAAATTGCTGTGGGCTAAAACTATTCAATGTGCTCTCAGCCAAATTAGTGGTAGAATTTTCTTCAAATTAATTTTCGCAAATGTCATATTGTTGAAATTTAGGTATGGTTTGTTTTGTTTTGCACAACTGTAACACTGTTGTTATTTTAACAAACTGTATTCCACAATCCGGCAAAAATATTTATAGTTAATAATATAGATACAGTATAATGTTAAAAAAAAAAACTTTGCAAACCAGCTGAATTTTAAGTTTCAATATAATTCAATAGATGTTTTTTCTGAAGCTTAAGTAAGGTTTTAATTATTATCCAGCATAAGAAATAGAAATGCATAATCATACATTATTTTTAAGAAAGGATGCATTACATTCGCATCTAGGCAAGGGTGATAGTAACACTCCTATATTTCTCTCATAAGATAGGATTTGAAGAATGTAATTAATTGTACAAACCAATGTGATTATGTGAACAAACACAAACTAAAAAGACAAATTGAACCTGAGATTATATTTGAAATGTACTGGAGACACGAAATACGTACTGATAATCTGTACCTCATGAAAGACTTTCTTCTTCATCTTGTTACAGAGCAGTTCCATCTGCATATTAATATATTGTTAGGGAGAAGACAGTAACACTTGGCCTCCCAAACTAATTTTTCTAATATAGCATCAATCCTGAGACTCATAATTTTTCTAGTTAGAGGGAAAGTGTTAAGTTTACACAAAGGTAGTTATTTGTCAACTAACCTCTAATGTTGCACCTTAGCCAGTCATTATCTATGGTATAGGATTTTACAGAAGTTCATCGAGGGAGTATAACATGCCAGGTACTGTTCTAAGCAATTTACTTGCATTATCCCATTTAATACTTAAAACAACCCCATGACAGAGGTAGTTATAGCCTCATTTTCATGTGAGAAAACTGAAGGATAGGAAGTTAATTTGTTCAAGGTCATCAAGTTACTAAGTAGCAGAGCCAGCATTCAAGTTCAGGCAGTTATAGTCCAGAGGCTCTGTTTTCAACCACTAGACAGTATGGCCCCTGCTCCAGCCCCATGCATTATATTAATGATGCTAATCTAGATGCTTCCTCTTTCATATAAAAGCATTAACATTCTTTAGAGTAAGTTGTGGCTATCAAAAGATATATGAAAATTTTACAGTCATATATTTATTATTGCTTGTGGGCTAATCTACAGTTACTTACTCTGGAGGAGGATCTCACCTGGACATGACCCTGGAGTCGCATAGCCATCCACATGCCTTTCTGCAGTGAGGGACTCCCACAGAGATAGGCCGATAGCAGTTTTAATGAATGGCTGAGGTCCTACAGAATCTTAAAAAGTCCCTGTAGAGTTGGTCATCTCAGTTCTCTTCTTGAGAAGTCCTCCTGCCTTGTCAGCCATTTGTTAAGGAGCAGTTTGAAAGCGTGAAAGATATTAGAGTCAGTGGTTAATTGTAAATGTACTCTAGAGACATATAATCATACAAATTATTCATAAAATTTTTCAGTGCTGACATTCCACATTAAAATTGCATTTTATTCAAACTGGTTAGAATGCCCTACGTTTTTTCCATTTGTTCTTTCCTTATTAAAATAAAAAATTGCTAATAAGATACAATTACACGTATTCCTCTTCCTGAAATTATAACATTTTTAAAGTTACCCGCTGAGGTACAACTGAATCCAGCTGCCAAAACTAAAAGGACTTTTACTTAGTAGAGGCTGTCTTTTTTTGTATTCTGTTGGTCTGGTAAGTCACTAGGTTACTCAGGATTCTCTGATGTTCTCGGTAAAGTTTAATGTCTTCTACTACTTAATTGAGCTCTCCATTTTCTTTGTTTTAATTATATTCTTCCCCTCTTGATGATCACTTGTTAGTTCTTAGTAAGAATTCAGTTGAGTAATAACTTTTAAAGGTATACACCTAAAAATTATTGTTCTAAACTAGTGAAATTAATAACATATTTTCAATACTTTTTTGTTCCTTAAGTTTCACTCTCAAGACCATAGGTTCACCATTTAATGTGAAAAAATAATGAAATTTTTTTAAAGTTAGATCACCACTGGAGTATATTGTTGCACATATATATCAAGTAGCCAATAATATTAAATTATCACTATTCAGATAAATAGGGCCTTTGAAAATATGAAAAAACAATGTTTATGAAAATATATATAAGCTGTAACTGTTGTTTCAATGATATTTCTTTTCCTCCATTACAAAGATGAAATTAATTTTGAAGTTTTAGAATAAATGTCATATATTCACTATAATTCTAAATACTTAAGTATTTCTAAAAATGCAAAAATATTGACTTTTAGTTGCTTTTATTGATTTTTAATTACTTTATTTTACTATTTCCTACCTTATTATTTTTCTTCATCACTACATTTCATAATCATTTTCTTTTAAATCATTCCTCAGAAGTAGGACTGAATTCTGCTCTTGCTAGATGTGAGAAAGTGGTAGGAACTTTACAGTAATGGAGATTTGTTTCCTAATCTGTATTTTGAGAAGCGTCCCTGAGAAAATTATTAGAATATAGAAAATATACCCAGTCTTAATTGTATGCAAAAGAATCAAGTAATTTTTTCCTAAGAAGAAAATATTCATGGACTGAATCATGTTACTTAGCTTTTTTATGTGCAGATTTCATATATCTCCTATTAATAATTTTTAAAATCATGTTTAAATATGAATATATTCATGCTAACATATTTTTCAGAGTATACATGGAAATTTAGCCGAGATTGCCTACATTTAGAGATTTTTATTTAAATTTTAAAATATTTTAAAGTATGAATAAATTATATTTATAGGTATTTATTGGAGATGATTATTTTGTGCTACATAAAGGATTGGCTAATGAGCTCCGGTGTTAAACTACCTGATTATTTTCTTATAAATTGGCGTAATCCTGACTTAAGGAATTTTACTTTCAAAATTAATTTGATAATAGTAACAATAGATATAGTCATACAGTCAAATTATGAAAACTATTTGTGTAAAAGGGCTTCAAAAATATATCATATCCAATTTTTGTATTGTTTAGCTCATGTAATGTGATAAACCTTAATTCTTTTTAATTGCCTTTTGCCATTAAAATATTTCATAATAAATTCTGTATAGAGTCCCCCCACCAAAACAAGGTTTATTTGTGAAATGTAAAGTTTCTAATGTGATCTTTTAAATAAAGTACCATAAATGTAGTTCATAAGTATTCCTTTAGGAATACGATAAACACTGAACCTGTGTCAGTCTATAAAATTTCAGTTTTAAAATAAGTATTTAAGCAGCCTAAAATGTTATGTTGAAATTATTTTGTAAATTCGTGACTTAAAGCAGTACTACACATAGTATAACTTAACGCCTTGGTCTGGTGTTAAGATTAGTATTTGTGATGTGTCATCAGAAAAGGAGATGTTCCAATCTCAGTTGTTCCTAAGTCAGTAAGTCAGTAAAACAAATTCTGGTATGTGCTTAGTATATATACTTAGTAATTGCTCTAAATGGAACTATGATAATTTTAGTGGAAACAATCTGTTTTTACCTTTGAACAGTGAATTTTACAGGAATGAATAGGTTCTTCAATTTTTTAATACAAAAATTATAAAATAATAGAGATTCTATCCATATGATACCAAAAATCGCTTAATTCAGCCTAATACACGTACATACTGAGATCTTTAGCTTTCCAAGTCATTGGGTTTCCATCATGCAGTCATCCAAAATTAGGGCAGACTATATGGATACTTTCAGTGGCTAGATGGGCTAAATTTAATCATCAAAGCAGGTGCTTTTGTCTGATTGCCAAAATATCAACTTCTAGGAAGTATTCTCAAGATTTTCTTTAAAAGTCTTTCATAGCTTTTTAGATATCCAACCTGAACAGAGACTGTTCTTTAAAAGCTGCTGCCCATCAAATTCCTCAACTGCCCTTTCAGTTAGGGGTTCCCATGTGACAGTGTTGGCCAGTGAGATGTAAGGGGAATATATGAGTGACATCCTAGAAGTCTCGTCAAAGAAAATCGGGGTATATTTTTTATCTTATTCCTCCATCTTGCTGCCAGAACTACAGATATAACAGGAGCCTTGGCAAATATCCAAGAGGACCAAGGTCACGCCCTAAGGAAGGCATGTTAGAGATTAAAAAGATCTTGACTGCTTCATGACTTGGACTGTCTTTTCCTGTATTTAAGCCAATGTAAATTTGAGTTTCTTTATACCAAGTCAAAATCAATCTATTCTGGCCTTCAGTTTTTCATCGTGATACCGTTTAACACTGTTTGAACAAACTAGATTGCAATAATTCTCACCTTTAAAAGTTTTTAAAAGATAATATACAATTCACATTAGAACTGATTTTCCATTGTTAATTATACTCATTTTTTGCCTTGATCTTTAATTAGATATTTTGTATCTGCTTAGAAAATATTGTCTTCTTTATAACTGTGTAATAGATATTTGCTAAAACTCTGTAATCTCCAAAATATCACTATCGAATTACATGCCATGTTTTTATATCAGTCTCATAGATCTGCCTTATAAACATCTAAATAAAAAGTACTATTTAATGTGTTTTGACTTCTTTTTTAAAATGTTGTATACAGAAGGGTTTTTCTTTCTTACTGAATAGTAATTCCAGCATTTAATGGAGGCCATCTAATAGTTTTTCTGTTTCTTTTTAGAAGCATCCAAAAAGCAATACATGTAATAGTTTTGGAGTTTGGGTGGGTTCGTTTGTTTTTGCCAAAGTAGTCATTTAGAAAAATATCCATCTAGTGAGTTGGTATTCTAAAAATTATTTCATTTCGCTAGCATTCACTAAGTTTCTTTAAACCAGGACTCCACACAATATTCATGCTATATTCTGTAAGCTCATGATAGCAGGAACTCTGTCTTATTCACTATATGCCCAGTATCTAGTACAGTATGGTCTGCCACATACTAACAAGATATTATAAAGAATGTTGATTCATCTTTATAGAAAATTATGTTATCACCCCACATCCATGCAGCCATGCCTGCAATCTTCCTGACCACCCCCCTCTCCATCACTGCCTCCACCTCTCTCCTTGCCTTGTGGCTAGTGGCTTGGAGCTGCCCGATTGTTACCAGAGTGGAGTTACTGCTACTGCTACACTGCTGTCATAAACACCACTGCCACACTGCTGTATTGAGGAGAGAAACCAACCTTGGTGCCTGTGCACAGTGTCCGTGGAGGCTCAGGCTTCCCCTGAAGCTGCCTGGCAATGAATGGGTGTTAATGTTCTCAGAGTAGAATTGCCAGGTAAAATATAGAACACTCAGTTAAATTTGAATTGCAGACAAATCAGTAATTCTCTTACTGATATTGCATGGGACTGATTATTTATTTATATCTACCAAATCTTATTTACTTACTCGACTTAACTCACTTTACTCACTTACTTACTTACTAAATCTGGCAACTTGACCTGAGTGGTGAACTTTGACCAAAGAGATGCAGCACAAGGAGCTGGTGGATAAATTCTCCCTTCCCTTCCCTCAGATGGGCTATTCTGAAGTACAATAATTCATAAGGCCTCCATGAAAATATTCTAAAAGACTAAGGAATTAACGGCACTTATTCCAAAGCTATGAACCAGCTCAATAACACCTAGATTTGTGCTCCCTCCTCCACTGCCTGCCTCACTTCCATCCTTTCCAAACTTCTTTCCAGAGATCATGCCCCTCAATGAAGTGGCAGCAGGTGAATGTTTGCTGTTTGTTTATGGGAATCTCTAGGGAACCTAGGCTAGCACAGTAGTTTTGGTAGTAGATTTTTCAAATGGAAAATAAAACATGAAATAAATGATGATTGTGACAAACCAGGCCCAAAATCCAGATTGATTGGGAATCCTGGAAGTGAATACATCTCCCAGGGACAGATTCACACTGATCAAATGTACAGTGATATACTGTTAAATCAGATTAGTAATTTATCACTACTGTGAGAAATATCTATATCCTAGAGGCGAGAATACCAGTATTGCCTTGATTAAACATATCCTAGTATTGAATTTGTTCTTCTAAAGAATTCAAATAAAAACCCAAAGGATCTTAGGATCTGTTATAAGTTGAATTGGATCCCCCTAAATTTCCTATGTTGAAGTCCTGACCCCCAGTACCTCAGAATGACTATATTTGAAGATAGGACCTTTAAAGAGGAAATTGAGATAAAATGAGGTCATGTGGGTGGACCCTAGTCTAATATAACTGGCATCCTTATGAGAAAAGAAGATTAAGACACAGAGGGAAGACCACGTGATGACAAAGGGAGAAGGTGAGCATCTACAAGCCAAGGACAGAGGCTTCAGAATGAAACCAGTCTTAGACACCTTGATCTTGGACTCCTAGCCATCAGGCTGAGAGGAAGTAAAATTTCTGTTGCATAAGCTACCCAGTGTGTGGTATTTGTTCCAGCAGCCCTAGCAAACTAATAGAAGGTCCATGGAATTAGAACACATTAAATTATAGAACCCGATAATGTCATTGGAAAAACTTGTTGATTAATCTGGCTCTACAAGAAAGACAGTTTTATCCTGGTGGTACTTCACTATAACCTCCTCACATATAAACACAGTAAATAGTTTTCAGTTCTAAAGGCTTAAGAACATTTTCATTTCACAGAAATAATCATGTGACGTGGAACTAAAGCTTTGATCCAGGTAAAAGTCCCTCTTTATAAACTCATTTCATTTATTACCATTTATTTAGTTTCTCCAGTAAACATGAATAGCCCCTCCAGCTTTCTACTTAAAAATTACTTGCAATTTGGGTTATTAGTATACTTTTAATTAGAATGGTTGATTTCAGGGGTGGCTGTTCTATTTTTGTTTTCGGTTCCATGTACTTATTACTCCCAAATTTGCACTAATGATTCTCTTGGAAAGAGGTAATTTCTTTTTTTAGATTTTGCTTCCGTGACAACCTAAAAGATTTTTTAAAATACTAAAGTAGGTTAAGTTCCAGCTTTATATGTTTTTCTTCTGTTACATAATTCCCCTAAAGCTAATCTATTAAGACTATAATTACATTTAATATGTGCTATAAAAATTCTAGTTAAAATAAATTACTCTAAGAAAGGAATAACCTTTGGTTGAACATTTAGAACATATGGCATTAGTTTAGAGACTATCGAATTCATATGTAATCTAAAATACTTATTCAAAATGGTCCTAATTCATGCTAATGAATAATTATAATTTTACTAAACATTGCTAGTTAGGCAATGTGCAAACATGTATCAAGAAAAAAATCAGAAGAACAATATTTCTTAAAATATTTATGTTAAAAACTTTGTTACTTTAAAAACTAAAAATCACATATAGGTCGACATTAAAACTTTTAATCTTTAAATTTATAGCTGCTTTTTAAAAAGAAATTGTAATTTGTAACTTAACAGAAATGTTAAATTCCACAGAATTGCTATCAGATTGAATAATTTTTATTTTCTGTGTATAATTCATTTCTCATACATTTCACTACTATGAATTTCACTTTTTGCTAAAATAACTTGCCATTTCAATAGTCATTTTACCCTTACGTCTTTCTATATTTTGGTGTCATAAAAATGTCTCATGTATTCTTAACTTACAGCCTTCAAAAATTTCTATTAAGAAGGGTCAATGAATAATGATTAAACTTAAATGCCCTAAGCAGGAAAAAAGGGTTTTTAAGTGCTAGAAAGGGGGAGTTCATGGGAGTTCTATTAATTAAACATTGAAAACTGGTACTCTGGATATAGGACAGAATGAATATATAGGTCTATACACAATTGGTTAAAATAAAATAAAAATCCTGCTGTTCATTTATCAGGAAAGTATCTTCAGTTAAGTCAAATGAAGAGAGTCTGACTTTCCAGGGTCACTGAGGTTTACGAACCTGATCAGCTTCAGCCTGTTGTGCTGAAACACAACAGTTGAAATCTCCTAGGCGAGTTCCGTTTTAAGTGGAAAGTTTTCCTTTGCAATTCCTCCTATTGTCTTGTCCTCATCCTGAGATGCTAGGATGGGCACACAAAAGATAAGAATATCATCCAGTTGTCAGCTCTCTACCACCATCTTGGTTTCAGGTGCCATTCTCACAGGATTCCATTGTGTTTATCCAAGTGGGTTCAGTCTCTTTTTGATGTAGTATACTTCAAATGTGCGACGACAATTAAGGTCATGTTAATGATACACTTGACAGACCCTTTGCACTCTTCCTGGGTGATTACAACTTTAGACCTACTGAACCCAACTGGAGGCGTCAAGCCTGAGCAGAGCTCTAAAAATGCCAATGAGTAACTAAAGAAAAAAGAGAAAAAGAATCCTGAAGCCCAGGCAAGGGAGTTTCAAGAAGGGGAGAGTAGTCAACAATGTTAAATACTACAGACAAGCACAGCAAGATAAAGAAGGGAAAGTGTCTACAGACTTTGCCCTCAGAGCAGTTTCAGAGGACTGGGAATGTAGAAACAGGGACTGGAAATGCTCACTACTCTCAAAGAAGCTTGATTTCTTTGGCTATGATTTACATTAAATGCTGCCAGACCCAATGTGGTTTTCCCATTTCTTTTTATTCGTAGGGCCAAAAATGTCATTCAGTGTTTGAACTGGTTAAGGAACCTTAGAAATCACTGATCAACTTGCTTATTCTACAAACGAGAGAAACTCTGAGAAGTGAAATAAAATTTATTTCCATGGAGTTTGTTATGTGTAATTTTTTAGTCCATAAATTTTATAGAAGGTATAAGAATTCACATTTAAATCTTGAATTTCTGGAAGTTTAAAAAAAAAGATTAAAAGGTTTAAAAGAGTCTTAAATAAGTTTTCACAGCCATGGTTTTTGGAGGTTAAGTCAAGTGAAGAGAGTCTGACTCATGATGATTTTCATGAGCCTTCCATTAAAGTCTCACCCTTCTTATATTAACTTAGGATACGGTGAATATATAATAGTAGTAGTAAAGATGATAATCTTGACCATTTACTGGGTGCTTATTATGGGCCAAGCACGACTTTACAAAACTATCATCTTATTCGATCCTCTCACAGCAATCCTATTTCACATATGAGAAAAGGGGGGCTTCTAGGAGTTAACTTACTCTAAATTTAATAATTGGCCCAAAAGCCTCCTAACAATGAGTAAAATGCCTTGTTTGTTTACTTAACAGGTAGGGCCACTCAAGTACAGAAAAGGTAATAGGCTGAGAAATGTAGATAACACTGGTGACTTCTCTGGAGTGTGATAAAACTGCTCTGCTTCCAACACTATCCGTCCGTCGCCCATCACTCATACGTCCCACATCCACACTTCATCCCTCCACCCACTCACGTCCGTTTTAAGAAGAACCAGCGCAAACTACCAAAACACATATAACGCCGAGGTAACACTCCACTGTTAAGTAAGGAGGTCTTCTCCCGCCCCGCTCTGGCGCGCTAGCAAACCTAGCCTCTCAGAGCGTGGCAGGGCAGATTAGGGTTTGGGGTAGTTTGCATCCCTGGGCTTCCGTAGGAGCCGGCGCTTCCCCCGCCCTGGCCCCGCCCCTAGCAACGCGCTGGCTTGTGTTAACAACCGGCGGGCTGGCGGGCGTCAATTTACGCCGGTGGGCAGCGGCGGCGCGATGAAGATGCTATCGCGGTGGCCGACGCCACGGCCGGACCCCAGGGTCCTTTCTTGACTCTCGCGGCTCTCAGGTAGCCTTACCTTTTCGGTGGCAGGGCCTCTTTGGGTCCCGCAACTGCGGACACAGTGTAGGACCCAGGACCTCCCCATCCCTTGCTCTGCCAGCCGCAGTCATGTCAACAGCCGAGGCCTCGGAACCCGGCGTCAGGAGCAAGTCCAACAGCCCTCGACAAATCCCGGTGGTCGGGGTGGTGACGGAGGACGAGGATGCTCAGGTATGCGCGAGGCTTTGGAGTGTGTGTGGAGGGGTTAGGTTGACATTTGGAGGCGGAGACGAGGCCGGGGATAGCAAGGGCGGAAATGGGGGCCCACGTGGAAACTAAGGGAGCCCGCGGGACCGAGGTTCCAAGCGAAACACGTCCCTCCGAGAGCTGCGCCGCCTGCAAGCGGGATTGGCTGTCGTCAACCAACCTGTCTAGAGATTTGCGCCGCGAGGTCCTCCCGGAGCGTCCCACTAAACTAAGTAGGTGAGGCATTGCCGCCCGCTTCGAAAAGTGTGACTACGAAGGGCCTGAGGGAAGGAGACATTCTTAGCGAAAACAGGACTTTGACCATTTTATTTGCACTGTACTTTTGTATATAGATCCCTTTTATCAAGTGATGTTCTTGATGGAGGCGTAAATTCTTGGGTGTTTAAATTTGATGTTAAAATCTGCACCTGGAAGGGAGGAAAATGCTGTTAAAATTAGAAATTAAGCTTCGTTTTTATCTGAAATTGGAAGCTGATTATGGAGTGGGTAAGAGAGAATTGGCGGCGTAAACTTTTTTTAGTGTGCTTGTATTTAGTTTTGAGCTTACCCTTGTTATGAATACAAAATTCTTTCAAGTTGATCTTCTGAAAAGTTTCACTTCGGAGTCTTCGCTTGGGTCTCCATTTGTGTTGGGGGCGGGGGGTGTTTAGAAACTCCAAGTCATTTGTTTCATGCTAGGGTTCCATTGCTCCTCCCTAGAGAGCCATGATCAAGCCCTAAAACATGACTCTTGTGGAGGAATCCTGCCTCCCCCTCCTCACACTAATGACGAAGGGCCGCTATGGGAATATCTGTTGAGATTTCACTAGCCTCAGGCTGCGTCAGGAACCTTGTCTCCTGCGTCCACATCCAGGAGCCTTAGAGAGTTCCTTGGGAGTGGTCAGTTGCCTGGGGACCTCTTACTGTGGGAATAGGTTTGAGCTCTCTGAGGATGGTCAGACATTTACATTACCTGCGAGCAACAGCACTTTTGCTTGAAGAGGAGCAGGGGGAATTTACCTAATCAGTTTTGTGGAAATATCCCAACCTAAACTAGAAGAACTTTGAGGAACAGCAGCTCTCCACTCCCAAGGCTATAAGGGGACTTAACACTACCGCGGTTCTCCCAGGATCCGGGCAAAACTGGGAAGTAGGTGAATTTC